TAATTAATAGTTAACTCGGAGAGTGAAATTTCTTGTTTGGATAACTTTAACTGGATGTCTGTATATCAGACTAAGTGCTCTCGACTTCACTCAGTCTCAATACATTGAACGACTAAAATATTTACTACGTTATGACAGCCGTTTCATTTTAAGGAGTGTTTTCGTGTCTTGCAGTAATCAGAATGGGTAATACTCCATTTATGTAGTCTTATGATTTAGTGAAATAAGACTCTTCAAAAGGGACATCTGTACATGATTTTAAATTGTTAAAATAATTACGCATGACAGAGTTGTGGCATTATAGTTGATGTCAGTTCGTGATGAAAACCGTAAGTATAATTCCTAACCTTAACCATGAACTGTAAATCATTATTTGAATTCTTCACATGGGTTTATGACCCTCATTTAGTCTTAGTTATTACGTTTACACTCTCAGATTCACTCTAGCGTCGCTCAAATGTCGTCCATAATTCATAGTCTCATCTTTAACCCTAAACCGTAACCCTAAACCTTAACCCTAATCTTAAACCCTGAACCATACCAACATACCGACAACACTGAAACTATGTGGTCGAGGCTGAAAGAATTTTCGGGACTTTATCATGGTTTCAGAGGTCGGCTACTATGGAGCCACAGGGATGAGTTCCTGTGCCGGATGCACTATGATTTTAGAACTTCTGAACCTATATCTAACCTTGATAAGTTTTTGATTCATGTAAAAGAACACTATCCCCTTTAATTTTTGAGTTTTATATAATATATTTTTACTGTATGCTAACTGTCTTCTGATTGGCTAATATTTCTCAAGGTCATTTAAGATTCGTTCAAAGGTCGTCCATGTTCTTTAGTCTCGCCCTTCATATATACTGGAGGGATATAAGTTCGAAACTTCTAAAAGCCCCCAACTTCGTATGTACCTATTCTCGACCATCAGTTGCATGTTGCAACGCTACCTCCATAAAGTGCGCCAAGTGTGATATTGACAGGTTTCTTACGAAATCCATTTACATTCATATCTTATGAAATATCAACCCAGCAGAGCAATTTTCAACAGTGAAAATTGCAACTTCTTTAACAATTTGATCTTTCCTGTAAGCCGGCATGCCTCATGTAACAATCTGTTATTTGAGAATAAATTATTATTATTAATTTGAACACCTGATTTAACTAGGCATCATTCGGCAGTCTAGTAGTCCATGGGCTTCGCCTCTACAAATGGTTCCCGAGAAAGATCAAAAATGGCTCCCATGTGGGGATTGCCGTCGTTTAAATAATCAGAACATTCCAGACAGGTGCCCCATTCCTCTTCTACATTTCTTCTGCATTCAAGTTTGAGTTCATCACGTTAGCCGTGCAGGACGTTGGCTCCAACAAGCAATATTTTATCACTAGCTTGCATAAACCAATTAATTTCTTTGCACTAGTCTCTCATTTTGGTAAGGCCCCATGTATTTGGTGACTTTAAATTGGTGGTTGTCTAGCCACCTGACTGCACTAATCCTAATAAATTTAGTATTTATTTGTGTATCTATATATCTTGCACTTTGAATGAGTGCGTTTGTCTAAGGGTAGTCGGGTTTCTGAAGACCGGCAGACCAAACAGGAGGTTTGGTGATAGTAATGCGACAAACGATAGATAGAAAAATTTGAATGCTGAGAGGAGACAATTTTCTCAAGAAATAAATAAACAAATAAATTAGTAATGAAAACAATGTGAGGAAACGGAAATGTAAGAACTGAAGGCGAAACAGGGACGGACGGACATACGCCCAGTAGTCTCGCTTGTTGATTTCGGAACGACCTCGTTATTTTTTCAACACCACGAGATCGCCGACGAATACATTTCACTAAAACATTTAACTGCTTTCTGACATTTGGCCTTTGGAGGGGTCTGATCTAGAAACTGGCATATAAATTTCCTGCATTGTTGATCATAGTCAAACGCAACTCAGCATTTACTACATCTGTTGTGTGACAAGTGCAAACACGCATCAACCACTGGAATTCTCCCGAAGAAGACTATCACGGTGAGTCTTTTATCTGTCTATGCATACTCGTTGCACATTTTCATAATGATGCATTTCAGTATATATTATCCTGGAAACAAACCGATAAAAGTAGCATTAACATAATAAACTCAAAAATACAGGTTATCTATTTCCGACCTGTATCTTTTATTCGGTATACCGGTATAAGACTCTATCCCTAAACTACATGCATGCCACAACTTTCCTTTCCCTTTAGATTTTTTATCCTAAGCCCACGTCTCCGACCATCGCCCTGTCAATCTTGGCGAAAGCTAGCCTGCTTACTCACGCTCTAGTCAACACATTCAGTCGATGTTATAGCTCAGAATTTGTCTGGTATTTGTTGGGTCTCGGAGGCGGTTGTTATGGTGACTTCTGATTTCTTAGCTCAATGTGATTTCTTCCTACGTCTGCGGCGATTTCTGGTGCGGACACCTACGAACGCCATCCTCAGATACTGGATACAAACCACTCTGGTGTGGTACATTAACTCGAGCAACAAATATAGCATGTTACTCCTCTTGCGCACAACCTGAGTGAATGTTCAGTCAGCTTAATTTAGTAATTTGTGACAATGCAAACTCAGGCAAGTGAAATTCATCATTTATCAAGTCGGAAATAGATCAAAATTATAGTTTCAAGCAAAATCTCACACAAACTTCTTCTTATAAAACTCTCTTTATATGGAATACAGAATCCCCATTTATCTTGGCTGAAATCATTTTCAGAACAACATAGCCAAATTGTCCGCTTTGGATCTTGCTACTCCAAACCTGTGAATGTAACCAGTGGGGTTATACAAGGAAGTGTAATTGACATATTACTATTTCTCTTTTTTATCAATGACGTATGTTCCCTAATTCAATACGGTGAACCCTTTCTTTTTGCAGATGATCGAAATATGGTTTATTCATCCTCATCTACCACCATAGAAAGCTATATTTCAACGGTAATCCAAGAGGAAATAAACAAGTTGTACGAATAGACTATTTCGTGGAATTAGCAACCTAATGTTGACAAAAGTGGATTTATTAACATCGGCCGCTGCCTTAACCTAAATCTGGCTATACACAAACAGACACTGAAACCTATTAACACTGTTCTTGACTCGGTTTTAAAATATAGCGATAGTTTGAACATTTCTGAACACATTGCATTTCGAGTGTCCAAAGCTAGAAAGCTCATCGGATTCGTAATGATTAACTTCAATAATATCGAATCGAAATTATCATTGTTATACAGAAAATGTATCTTGCCCGTCCTTCAATATCGTATTTTAGTTTACGGTATTTGCAGGCATAATGACCTGATTACATTTGAAGGTGTTCAAAGAAGGCTCGTCTAAGCTGTTTTGGGGTATTCTGACAACAAAGACTACCACCAAAGATGCCAACAACTCAAACTAGGACCTGTCTGGATCCAGGTAATCAAATTAAACATTATCTTTCTATACCGGCTTCTTAACGGTATTTCCTACTCTTCGCTATCTACCCCTTCATACTTTATGATACCGTCCCACAATCTACGCAATAAGGAAAATATTCTAGTGATTCCAAAAACCCACACAAATTTACGCCACAATTTTTTCGTTATTCGATACTCAACCATGTAGAATAGACTGCCAAAGAACCTCCGATGCAGTGAAACTATAACCCGGTTCCGAAGTCTTCTTGATGATTTTCTTTCCAAAAGTGGATTGTGTCATCTATTGAATATCAACGTGCTTAACAATGATTAATAAAAAAAGGTCCGTCATCTATCTATACTTACTTACTTACTTTCGCCTGTTACTCCCAATGGAGTATAGGCCGCCGACCAGCTTTCTCCAACCCAATGTGTCCTGGGACTTCTTTTCTAGTTCTATCCAGTTCTTGTTCATTCTTCCCATGTCTGTCTCTATTTCTCGGCGTAATGTGTTCTTTGGTCTTCCTCTTCTCCTTTGACCTTCAGGATTCCATGTAAAGGTTTCCGCATCCTCCAAAGCTTCTCCGTCAAGTGTAATTGAATTGGTGCATATTGTATTGTATCGGAGAGTCTTGCTTTTCCTTTTGTTTATATTGAGACCTACTGCTGCTGAGGCTGCTGATACACTGGTCGTTTTCTCCTGCATTTGTTGTTGCGTTTGTGATAGAAGAGCCAGATCATCCGCGAAGTCTAAATCGTCAAGCTGCATCCTGTCTGTCCACTGTATCCCGTGCATTCCTCCAGATGTTGACGTCTTCATAATCCAGTCGATCACCAGGAGAAAGAGAAAGGGTGAGAGTAAGCAACCTTGCCTAACACCGGTCTTTACTTCAAACGAGTCGGTGAGTTGTCCTCCTGGACGATTTGGCAGTTTAGTCCATCATAGGAGTTCCGTATGATATTGACTATCTTCTCAGGCACGCCGTAGTGTCGAAGAAGCCTCCATAGTGTCGTCCTGTCCACGCTATCAAATGCCTTCTCGTAGTCGATGAAGTTGATGAAGAGTGATGAATTCTATTCGATTGATTGTTCCACAACGATACGTAGAGTTGCGATTTTATCTGTGCACGATCTATCCTTACGAAATCCAGCTTGTTGATCTCGAAGTCGGGCGTCCACAGAATCCTTCATCCTGTTCCGTCAGACTGAGAATACTGCAGACGGCTGAGGTAATTGCTATTCGGATCAGAAAGCCAGAGCTTTGCATCGGAAAGAAATATGTCCAGCCGCTCCTTTTATCCTGGCCGACTTTACTATATCTGACCTAATTCATATTATTCTACATATTGCGTAATTTGTGATTTGTAATCACATTGTTCTGTCTCACCCTATGTCAGCTATATATACTCTGATCAATTGTCTTACGATTTTATTTCACTTATAAACGGATTCAAGTTAACACTTCATATTAATCATCCCAACATTAACGATTCGATTTTATTTTATATGACAAACAACAGTCCTTGATTCACGTGTTACAGTTACACTTTTTACAGTAAATAATACGATTATTAATGCGATGGGCAACTTCACATATTTCGGTGAGTAAATGGACTTACTTCTGAACAAAAAAGGAAGCAATTGGCCGTGTTAAACAATACGTCTAATAACTTCTTCAATCTGATATAGTTCGTGTTAACTGTACATATTTTGAACAGTTTAGATCTGCCATACAATGAATGCCTTTATCATCCCTTTTATTTATGTAAGAGTATTTTTTTTCCTTTTTGAGTTTTAGTTCTACACAAAACCCTGTCCACATTATTTTGTGTAAGCTACATATATGTATTCACTCAAGTAAGGCATATTTCCTCGCCAAAGTTAACTTATCTCAAGGTTTAATTTTCGTATGTTTGCTTTCTCTAGGTGTTGCTTTAAATTGTAGCATATAGTTTTGTGTAGTATATATGTGTTTTCTAGTATATTCAAGGTTTGACTTTAAAACTACTGTGAATTCAGTGCTATCCTTCACCTTGTTCTTTGTATCAATTGGTGTTTTGAAATAATCAGTTTATCAGAGTGCACTGTACACTGTCTGCTGATAGTTGGTCAAAATGATACTAATATCTTTTCACATATTTTCTAAACACGAAGTAATTTCACCATAGTTGTTGACCTCAAAAACAACTCAGTCGCGTGAGCATTTAAAAGTGCTATGAGTTCGCAACCGATTTCAAGTAATAACTAAGTCTATATTCTTCTTATTATTATTTTGTGTCTTTAGATATGTAGAAAATTTAGTATACTTCGTTTAATAATTTACAAGTTGGGTACGCTCGTTAGACATTATCAAAATTGCATGTAAAGATAATTAATAGTTAACTCGGAGAGTGAAATTTCTTGTTTGGATAACTTTAACTGGATGTCTGTATATCAGACTAAGTGCTCTCGACTTCACTCAGTCTCAATACATTGAACGACTAAAATATTTACTACGTTATGACAGCCGTTTCATTTTAAGGAGTGTTTTCGTGTCTTGGAGTAATCAGAATGGGTAATACTCCATTTATGTAGTCTTATGATTTAGTGAAATAAGACTCTTCAAAAGGGACATCTGTACATGATTTTAAATTGTTAAAATAATTACGCATGTATCTGTTCAGTTATTAGAACATGCAGCACACCTTTTTGTACTGGGAAGAACAGTATTCTACTACTGTGTATATCAAAGTTCACTGGATCATTTCCACTTTTTCAGTTAGTTCTCAGTTAAATTAGAACGTGGCACATATTTCCATTAGTTCAATTTGCTACAACATATCAGAACTGTGACATAAAATTATCAAGATAAATCCCATAGTAGTAAAGCGAATAACAGTGACGATTTTTATGGTCCAGACTTGTAATCGGACTTCATCCAGTACATTTACATAATCTCTTGTAATTCTCGATCGACCTGACGAAAAACTACAAAGTTTAACTCCAGCTGATCACTTTATAAATGTTTTTTCTGCATGTCATTGAAAATTTCGCTATTTGTCACTAGGAAATAAAACTATGTTAATTTACTTTCTAGCTAAATCTTTAGTGCTGATTTCACAGGTGGGATATGTTATATCCCGTGGAGATTTATGAATGGTAGCTTTGAGAACTATTTATGGACCAATATGATACGTATCATTTCTATTGTATAATTGTTAAGCAGCTAAACCATTTATATTCGTGTCTCTCTTATTATAAGTTTTATTTTGACCCTTGGACTATTATTGTACGATTTACTATTCCTGAGTTATATCCAGTCTATTCATTACTGTTCCCCCTATTCACAGCCACATTTGACTAACTCTTGTACAAATGTTATTTTCCATTTTATTGGTACGATGTGATCAGTCTGTTTGGTATATAAACTCAGTATGTTTGAAATACAAGGATTCATGCCACAGAGGCTGTTATTGGTGTTTTGGACTTAACTGGCTGTGTTAGGCAGAAAGCAAGACTGATAAGTTATATGAGATAAGAGCTTATATGTAGCACACTTTCATTCCTTTGCTTGTCTTCCTGTTTATATAATTTATAATCTTAAAAATCATTCCTATACTATTTCGTTGTATTATATAAACACAACGCTTAGTAGTGTCTTATTGTTTCTGTTAAAATTCCTTTAACTACATTTTTTAACATCTAAAATTCCCGTTATGAATATTTTTACTTTTGATATAAGTTCGAAAATGAAATTTGTAATACTTTGTCAACTAAAATTCATATATTTTGTTGAGAAACTTTTTTCATCATATAACTATGATTACGGGTTTTCGTTAAATGTATTTACATAAAGGTCATTGTTGTTGTATTTAAAATTACAAAAATAATAATTACATGAAAGAAACAACTTGATATACACATTTTTCTATGAATTTAATGTTCTCTCTCACTTGACTTCATCATCTTTGTAACAGTCATTAAACTAGTTTGAACCGGACCTATGTATTCAAAAAGAGACAGTGATAAACTTATTACTAACTTGGTAACCCATTTTTGTTTTGTTTCAGTTTTTTTTTTATTAGTTCAATTTTGGTTAATATTCAGTTGTTTTTTATACCCAATTCTTAAACCACCCTTTCTCTCACACATTTCCGCTCATTTGTCTCTCCTAATTATATGAACTATCCAAATCTTATTCAATTATTACGTAACCCACCCTAATTGTTTTCAACTACGTCTATAAATTATTCAATCATTACGTAATCCCACCCTAATTGTTTTCAACTACCTCTAACATAATCACATTTTGATTTTATCTGTCTCTTAACTCCACTCAACTATTACGCCACCCTTTATCCTAATACCTAATAACCTCTGACCTTTCCTTGACCATAGATATATATATACATATACATTTATCATCGATGACTTTTGTTATTCCAATCCTTTACATTCCCTTATGTCAGTTGTTCCATTCTATTTATTACCCTAATGCTAAAACTCTAATGCATATTTGGTTGTAAGCAGCTGATGAGAAACCACGAAATATAATGAATTCATATTATTCTGCATCAATATTTGTTCTATCTTTATTTAAATGATAGATGCTCCTATTACTGGCCACAATGCAGGCCGTCTATTTCAACCCAGGGATCGTATTTATGGCTCAATTACCGCCACCTACGAAATTCATGGTGTTCCAGCGATATAACCTGTGAATAAAATTTTCGCTGACATCTTGTCGAAATACGAGTGCATCACAAGAATTATCATCAAAATGGTTGCACCGTACATCATGTATAACACCGCATTACTACTACTGGTCCACCAATGCGCGTTAGGACGAGAAGACGGCCGCCACACAAGATAACGATCCCTAAACGAGAATTTGTATCGGAATACTGTTGGCGAGACTAAAGAACATGGACGAGCCAATCAGAAGCTTTCGTGGGTTTTCAAGGTCACGGCGCTAAGTTCGGTACCTGATGCTTACGTACGGTCGGTTTACAACGGATTTTAGAGAAAACATGATAATTAAGGGTCTACAAGATAAGTTATCATAAGATTTTGGCGCAAAACTCAATTATACATTTGGACAGAGTTGTGGCATTATAGTTGATGTCAGTAGTAGAGTGATGAATTCCATTCGATTGATTGTTCCACAACGATACGTAGAGTTGCGATTTTATCTGTGCACGATCTATCCTTACGAAATCCAGCTTGTTGATCTCGAAGTCGGGCGTCCACAGAATCCTTCATCCTGTTCCGTCAGACTGAGAATACTGCAGACGGCTGAGGTAATTGCTATTCGGATCAGAAAGCCAGAGCTTTGCATCGGAAAGAAATATGTCCAGCCGCTCCTTTTATCCTGGCCGACTTTACTATATCTGACCTAATTCATATTATTCTACATATTGCGTAATTTGTGATTTGTAATCACATTGTTCTGTCTCACCCTATGTCAGCTATATATACTCTGATCAATTGTCTTACGATTTTATTTCACTTATAAACGGATTCAAGTTAACACTTCATATTAATCATCCCAACATTAACGATTCGATTTTATTTTATATGACAAACAACAGTCCTTGATTCACGTGTTACAGTTTCTAGAATGATGTACTCTGCCATAAATTTAGCCAATTTTCTTTTGTGGATTATTAATTTGGATTCATAATTGTAGAATCTGATGAGAAATTATTGAAAAGAATATTCTTCGTCCATATAATTGTGTTTTGATATTATTCACCGTAACTGAGGGCTTATGATGATTCAATATGTTCCGCTCTCTTTACTCCTCATGACCATGATTGGAACTTCTAACAAATTTAATTTACCGTCTCCAACTTATCACAGTCAAGGTTAAAGCTACTCGCACTAAATATACTAATGTATTAGCTGAAAAATTAGCTGCTGACTCGTTTAATTGTGTACTTATTTAATCTGTTATCGACCTTTCCCATATTTTTATCTTTAGGTTCAGGGTATCACTGTTAAAGAAAGCGAACCAGAACGTCAGGAGACGCGGACAAAAGTAGACGAAAATCGACGTTATGTGATTGAGGCAACAATCGTGAGAGTCATGAAAGCTCGTAAAACTTCAAGTCATGGACAACTTGTTGTTGAAGTTATCGAACAATTAAAATCGCGCTTTGTACCTACCCCCGTGATGATTAAACAACGTATTGAATCGCTTATTGAACGAGAATTTCTTGCTCGATTAGAAGATGATCGTCGAGTTTATAAGTACTTGGCCTAATCTCATCGTGTCAACCAAGTCTAAATACAACTTGTATCTTTCAAATTCTATCGTACCATTCCTTGGGTCTACTCTCTACAGTATGTCTTCCAAACTCCACTGTCAAAACTTTTCAAATTACTCCTATGATGTGTTGTAAGATGATGAGCTTTAAATAATGATCAGAATAAATCTAATTGCTCATTATCAGTTAATTGAACAAATCAAATCTTCATTGTTCTCAATTTACTCCTACAAACCTAATCTTAATAAACTTACTACAGTCAAGTTATCTATGACTTTTTTTATTTCCTTTGCCAACCTCATGCTTCCATTTCAGTTTTCTTTAATTAAACTACTAACCTTACCTACATAAATTATATGATTCGTTCTTTTGTGTATGTATATATTTTAATTGTCCAACTCTTTGAAGTTTATGAATTCTAAAAATGATTTATTTTATTCTCATTCATGAATTTTGGAAAATGTGGAATCAATGTTAACTACTCGATTCTTTGTTTCTTTCTCCGTTCACATATACAGTTACTCACAGTACTGACTTATATCATTTGGCTAGAAGCATCTCACTTTTTACAGTAAATAATACGATTATTAATGCGATGGGCAACTTCACATATTTCGGTGAGTAAATGGACTTACTTCTGAACAAAAAAGGAAGCAATTGGCCGTGTTAAACAATACGTCTAATAACTTCTTCAATCTGATATAGTTCGTGTTAACTGTACATATTTTGAACAGTTTAGATCTGCCATACAATGAATGCCTTTATCATCCCTTTTATTTATGTAAGAGTATTTTTTTTCCTTTTTGAGTTTTAGTTCTACACAAAACCCTGTCCACATTATTTTGTGTAAGCTACATATATGTATTCACTCAAGTAAGGCATATTTCCTCGCCAAAGTTAACTTATCTCAAGGTTTAATTTTCGTATGTTTGCTTTCTCTAGGTGTTGCTTTAAATTGTAGCATATAGTTTTGTGTAGTATATATGTGTTTTCTAGTATATTCAAGGTTTGACTTTAAAACTACTGTGAATTCAGTGCTATCCTTCACCTTGTTCTTTGTATCAATTGGTGTTTTGAAATAATCAGTTTATCAGAGTGCACTGTACACTGTCTGCTGATAGTTGGTCAAAATGATACTAATATCTTTTCACATATTTTCTAAACACGAAGTAATTTCACCATAGTTGTTGACCTCAAAAACAACTCAGTCGCGTGAGCATTTAAAAGTGCTATGAGTTCGCAACCGATTTCAAGTAATAACTAAGTCTATATTCTTCTTATTATTATTTTGTGTCTTTAGATATGTAGAAAATTTAGTATACTTCGTTTAATAATTTACAAGTTGGGTACGCTCGTTAGACATTATCAAAATTGCATGTAAAGATAATTAATAGTTAACTCGGAGAGTGAAATTTCTTGTTTGGATAACTTTAACTGGATGTCTGTATATCAGACTAAGTGCTCTCGACTTCACTCAGTCTCAATACATTGAACGACTAAAATATTTACTACGTTATGACAGCCGTTTCATTTTAAGGAGTGTTTTCGTGTCTTGGAGTAATCAGAATGGGTAATACTCCATTTATGTAGTCTTATGATTTAGTGAAATAAGACTCTTCAAAAGGGACATCTGTACATGATTTTAAATTGTTAAAATAATTACGCATGACAGAGTTGTGGCATTATAGTTGATGTCAGTTCGTGATGAAAACCGTAAGTATAATTCCTAACCTTAACCATGAACTGTAAATCATTATTTGAATTCTTCACACGGGTTTATGACCCTCATTTAGTCTTAGTTATTACGTTTACACTCTCAGATTCACTCTAGCGTCGCTCAAATGTCGTCCATAATTCATAGTCTCATCTTTAACCCTAAACCGTAACCCTAAACCTTAACCCTAATCTTAAACCCTGAACCATACCAACATACCGACAACACTGAAACTATGTGGTCGAGGCTGAAAGAATTTTCGGGACTTTATCATGGTTTCAGAGGTCGGCTACTATGGAGCCACAGGGATGAGTTCCTGTGCCGGATGCACTATGATTTTAGAACTTCTGAACCTATATCTAACCTTGATAAGTTTTTGATTCATGTAAAAGAACACTATCCCCTTTAATTTTTGAGTTTTATATAATATATTTTTACTGTATGCTAACTGTCTTCTGATTGGCTAATATTTCTCAAGGTCATTTAAGATTCGTTCAAAGGTCGTCCATGTTCTTTAGTCTCGCCCTTCATATATACTGGAGGGATATAAGTTCGAAACTTCTAAAAGCCCCCAACTTCGTATGTACCTATTCTCGACCATCAGTTGCATGTTGCAACGCTACCTCCATAAAGTGCGCCAAGTGTGATATTGACAGGTTTCTTACGAAATCCATTTACATTCATATCTTATGAAATATCAACCCAGCAGAGCAATTTTCAACAGTGAAAATTGCAACTTCTTTAACAATTTGATCTTTCCTGTAAGCCGGCATGCCTCATGTAACAATCTGTTATTTGAGAATAAATTATTATTATTAATTTGAACACCTGATTTAACTAGGCATCATTCGGCAGTCTAGTAGTCCATGGGCTTCGCCTCTACAAATGGTTCCCGAGAAAGATCAAAAATGGCTCCCATGTGGGGATTGCCGTCGTTTAAATAATCAGAACATTCCAGACAGGTGCCCCATTCCTCTTCTACATTTCTTCTGCATTCAAGTTTGAGTTCATCACGTTAGCCGTGCAGGACGTTGGCTCCAACAAGCAATATTTTATCACTAGCTTGCATAAACCAATTAATTTCTTTGCACTAGTCTCTCATTTTGGTAAGGCCCCATGTATTTGGTGACTTTAAATTGGTGGTTGTCTAGCCACCTGACTGCACTAATCCTAATAAATTTAGTATTTATTTGTGTATCTATATATCTTGCACTTTGAATGAGTGCGTTTGTCTAAGGGTAGTCGGGTTTCTGAAGACCGGCAGACCAAACAGGAGGTTTGGTGATAGTAATGCGACAAACGATAGATAGAAAAATTTGAATGCTGAGAGGAGACAATTTTCTCAAGAAATAAATAAACAAATAAATTAGTAATGAAAACAATGTGAGGAAACGGAAATGTAAGAACTGAAGGCGAAACAGGGACGGACGGACATACGCCCAGTAGTCTCGCTTGTTGATTTCGGAACGACCTCGTTATTTTTTCAACACCACGAGATCGCCGACGAATACATTTCACTAAAACATTTAACTGCTTTCTGACATTTGGCCTTTGGAGGGGTCTGATCTAGAAACTGGCATATAAATTTCCTGCATTGTTGATCATAGTCAAACGCAACTCAGCATTTACTACATCTGTTGTGTGACAAGTGCAAACACGCATCAACCACTGGAATTCTCCCGAAGAAGACTATCACGGTGAGTCTTTTATCTGTCTATGCATACTCGTTGCACATTTTCATAATGATGCATTTCAGTATATATTATCCTGGAAACAAACCGATAAAAGTAGCATTAACATAATAAACTCAAAAATACAGGTTATCTATTTCCGACCTGTATCTTTTATTCGGTATACCGGTATAAGACTCTATCCCTAAACTACATGCATGCCACAACTTTCCTTTCCCTTTAGATTTTTTATCCTAAGCCCACGTCTCCGACCATCGCCCTGTCAATCTTGGCGAAAGCTAGCCTGCTTACTCACGCTCTAGTCAACACATTCAGTCGATGTTATAGCTCAGAATTTGTCTGGTATTTGTTGGGTCTCGGAGGCGGTTGTTATGGTGACTTCTGATTTCTTAGCTCAATGTGATTTCTTCCTACGTCTGCGGCGATTTCTGGTGCGGACACCTACGAACGCCATCCTCAGATACTGGATACAAACCACTCTGGTGTGGTACATTAACTCGAGCAACAAATATAGCATGTTACTCCTCTTGCGCACAACCTGAGTGAATGTTCAGTCAGCTTAATTTAGTAATTTGTGACAATGCAAACTCAGGCAAGTGAAATTCATCATTTATCAAGTCGGAAATAGATCAAAATTATAGTTTCAAGCAAAATCTCACACAAACTTCTTCTTATAAAACTCTCTTTATATGGAATACAGAATCCCCATTTATCTTGGCTGAAATCATTTTCAGAACAACATAGCCAAATTGTCCGCTTTGGATCTTGCTACTCCAAACCTGTGAATGTAACCAGTGGGGTTATACAAGGAAGTGTAATTGACATATTACTATTTCTCTTTTTTATCAATGACGTATGTTCCCTAATTCAATACGGTGAACCCTTTCTTTTTGCAGATGATCGAAATATGGTTTATTCATCCTCATCTACCACCATAGAAAGCTATATTTCAACGGTAATCCAAGAGGAAATAAACAAGTTGTACGAATAGACTATTTCGTGGAATTAGCAACCTAATGTTGACAAAAGTGGATTTATTAACATCGGCCGCTGCCTTAACCTAAATCTGGCTATACACAAACAGACACTGAAACCTATTAACACTGTTCTTGACTCGGTTTTAAAATATAGCGATAGTTTGAACATTTCTGAACACATTGCATTTCGAGTGTCCAAAGCTAGAAAGCTCATCGGATTCGTAATGATTAACTTCAATAATATCGAATCGAAATTATCATTGTTATACAGAAAATGTATCTTGCCCGTCCTTCAATATCGTATTTTAGTTTACGGTATTTGCAGGCATAATGACCTGATTATATTTGAAGGTGTTCAAAGAAGGCTCGTCTAAGCTGTTTTGGGGTATTCTGACAACAAAGACTACCACCAAAGATGCCAACAACTCAAACTAGGACCTGTCTGGATCCAGGTAATCAAATTAAACATTATCTTTCTATACCGGCTTCTTAACGGTATTTCCTACTCTTCGCTATCTACCCCTTCATACTTTATGATACCGTCCCACAATCTACGCAATAAGGAAAATATTCTAGTGATTCCAAAAACCCACACAAATTTACGCCACAATTTTTTCGTTATTCGATACTCAACCATGTAGAATAGACTGCCAAAGAACCTCCGATGCAGTGAAACTATAACCCGGTTCCGAAGTCTTCTTGATGATTTTCT